TATATATCATTTGAAAATGATAATTAGCCATCTCATAGACATGAGGTCTATTCGATATTAGTGTCTTCACACCATTAATTTGAATATTTGATTTATGTTTACATAATTTCATTTATGCTAAAACTAGCATTAATAGAGATGATGTTTAATATCTGCATCTATCTCTCTCCCCAGGGAAGATTGGATGATTGAGTAGACTCAAAATCGAAGGTTTTAGGTTTTAATTCAAAGAAAATACCACTATGGCACTTGCCACCTAATTTTCGCCTCAGATTTTTCCACTAGAGGATTTTTTTTTCCATCCAGCTATTTTTCTACTGTTTTCCAACAGCTATTTCCCCCGGCTATGTCCCAGTATTTTCCATTGTATTTTTCCTCCTAGTTTTCCAACTGAATGTTTTCATCAGTTTATCTATTGTGTAAGGCGGAACACATTATTTGTTTATGCTTTTGTTTTTGTTTTGTAAGGTTACATCATAAATGAGGGCCGATAATAAAAAGCCTTATCCAATCAATTAACTGATTGACTCTTAATGCATTTGAAATACTAATGAAGCCAAAAGACTCATTGTAGAAACGTGATTTTAAAAAGTTTGCTTAAGTGTTCACACAAAAAAAAACAGGAAACCTCTTTTTAACATTGAGTACTCTTTTGGACAATAAATAACACACCTATTTCCTGGTCGGTCTATATATCCTACTTATGTTTTGCTGCATCTGCTAATAATAATCCGGCAAGGAGTGGAAATATTATTTCCACCATTAAAATGTCCGGTAGTGGTCATTCTTGTACTATGCCAAACATTTTCCAGTAGGTTTTATTGGGTTAACTCACAAGCTGATCTATATGATATTCAATTGGTGTGATATGTGCTGTAAATACGAATACATAGGCTAAAATTAATTTTTTGGCGGCCATATTAAATTTCAAGAAGGCGGACATTTTGAAATTTAATATGGTGGTCTTCTGACATAATTTCTGATGGCTGTATAGTAGTCCCTGATATCGAAAACATGGGCAACAGTCTTTGATTGACAGTGGTAGATACACATGTAGATATGAATATTGACAAAAATATCATTTATTTGGCGGCCATCTTGAAATCCAATAGGGCAGTGCCATCTGACATAATTTCTGATGATTGCATTACACTCATTGATATTGAAAACATGGGTAATGATCTTCAATTGGCAATGACATGTGCTGTAGATATGAATATATTGGCTTAAAAATCAATTATTTTGGGGCCATATTGGATTTCAAGATGGCGGCCATTAGGAGGCGTTATTTTTTAGGGTCTATTTTTTTTAATGATCTTTAGGTGTCATAGTATCACTATGGGAAGTTTCATGCTTTCTTCCAGAAGTGCACGATTTTTCTCCTTAGCAGCTCTACTATTTTGGTTTTGGCAACATTAATTCTAGTTTAGTTCTTATATCATAGTAATTATCTTTAAAGACAAATCTGTTAGATAAATAATGAGGTGCAAGGTTATTCATAATCTTAAACATAGTGATGGCTTCATCTATATATAACTTTGGTCTAAATTCATGACATAGCACTTACAAGCCGCAATGAGGCAACGTTTGATTTTTTTTTGTTTTTTTTTTTGATTTTTTTTTCAACAATATTTTGTGAGGGTGGTCCATCCAGCCTGAGCTGATCAATTGGGACCCTCAGTACATAGAATTAAAACATAAGTATAAAATAACGTCCTTCAACGTATTAGTCAATTATAACAACATAATTGATTATAAGCGATAATGATGAACAATGATCAAGAAATTCAACCTTAGCCGCTCTACTAAAATCTGATTACAAAAAGAGAAGTTTGTCATAGGTGCAAAACTTTGAAACGAAATTAGCGATGATGTTAAAAATGTTAACAAATTATCTTTATTTAAAAAAGCATATAATTGCGACATTGTAATTACACTAACAGAATGTTTGTTAACACCATTGTGGTAGTTTCTAACATAAACTTCTGTATTTTGTTAACACCATTGTGGTAGTTTCTAACATAAACTTCTGTATTTTGTTAACACCATTGTGGTAATTTCTAACATAAATTACTGTATTTTTGTTGTTTGTTCGTGTTTGTAAAGTGTAATTAAGTTAGTTTAAGATTTTAAGTCCAGTTAAGATATTTGGTCGTTTATTGTTTGTTAATTTTTTCTTTAGATTTTCTGGTTACTTCAATTGTTGTATACACGGTCTTGCAGAATAACAACTGTTAGTTGAACCAAGTTTCCATGTTTAAAATAAAGCTTATTATTATATTGTCATTGGAGGGTGAGGACTCACAGAAAAAGGTATATGCTAGACCATGTTGAATGGGGACTGAGCCATATCTACTTGTGTTGTATTTACCTTTAAGTTATATATATACACTAGTGTATAGTGGCGGAAGGTTAACCTTTACATCTGATCCTGACTAACTTGTAACATACATTTTACATGTTGTACCAATACATCTTAAGTTATTTAACCCTCAGTCATTAAGTATTTAGTATTTGTTCAGATATTCTTACATTTTTGTTTTCTTATTTAACCAATATTATTTTTACAACCTTCAAATGATAATATTTACAAAACATCAAAAATCTTTCCTCAAAAACTGCATAAATATATTTGATCTTTTTGGGATTTGACTAATTTCTAAAAAATATTTTTAATTCATAATGTAGGTTTAATGTTGAGTGTCTCATGATTGTCACTATTCACTGTTTTGAGTAACCCCCACTAACAGTTTAATAAATGTTTTAAAAGTCGTACAAAGTAAATAAACAAACAAATAAATAATTAAACAAATAAATATATATAATCATCAATCACCATATCTTACCTGGTGTTACTTCATCCTGTAATAATTTATGCAAGAGGACATGTTTTTGATTGTTTTCACAAGCATTTGTATCAGGGCTTGCGTTGGAGCTGTCTCCTCTAGTGCCCATGCTCCTGCCTTGTGAATTCTCGGTGGAATCCTTCATGGGTTTATCAGAGTCTTTGCCTGGGAAACCATTTCCAGAATCCTGGTACACTGGAAATGCTTGCCCACCATCTAGATGCATCCCAGAACTGAGTAGTGACGACAAGGCATTTTTAGGTTCCGACTGGAAAACCTTCTGGAACACGTTCATTTTACCGGTGGAAGAGGATCCGGATAGAGCAAGCTTGCTGGGCTCCCCTTCGTTATTCCTTCGAACAAAATAGAGGAGAATTACATAAATTAATTTTGAAATTCACATACCGTACTCGCTTGAATTAGCACCCAGACGCTTAAAAAGTTTTTTGCCCTTTTGAGGGGCGCTTATTAAAAGGGGGCACTTATGAAAACAGAGTGAAAATTGAGGGGGCACTTATGGTAATATATGAAAATTGTGGGGTTTTTCTGGGAACTTGGAAATTTCAATGGGCGATTTTTGATTGAAAAAAAATTATATAAGGACATTCGAAAACCGAAGATTACGAATGGTTCTGGTGCAGAAAAGATAATCGTCCAGAGAGCATGGCTCGTGACAAGATTTTCAAAAGCAGATGAAATTAGTGGTGGTGGTGTATAGGCCCTAAGCTTGTTGGCCATCTGGCGATTGAGATTAGCAGGATCATTGCAGGGCTTCTTGCAAACTCAAATGAAAACGTGCTAAAGGTGCAAATGTGAAAAAGAAAAAAGAGAAGTAGACAAATGTAAGAGGAGGAAAGTTGGAAAATACTGTCCAGATACTGTCAATCACAAGATATTGTTTTAAAAAATGAATAAACACCAAAGGGCGCTTAAGACAATTTTCACGTTAGGAGTGACACTTATTCAAACAGGATGCTTAAGTCAATTTTCATGTTAGGAGGGGCTCTTATTCAAGAGGGGCGCTTATTTAAACAGGACGTTTATTCGCGCGAGTATAGTAACACATCCTTGAGGAATTTTAAAATAAAAAATTACTTATTGTAGTTTAACTGACTACTCAATACCCCAAAAAAGAGAACCAGAGCCTTGTTGTGTTGTAACTTGAACAATTGAATGGCCCAAAATAGTGATTTTAAACCACATTGGTAATGGTTTTTTGATAGGCAAATTACAGTAATATGTTTAGCACATCAACAAGGTACTTCTACATTTTGGAGAATAAAAAAAATTAAAATTTTTCATAGGCCTAGGTATACTATTTTTATTTTCATGATTTTAAATTTCTTTAAAAAAAAAATTATGTAACAAATTTATGTGCACTACACCAAATTGAGCAACTATGGAGTTGCCATTTGTAAATTGTATATTTTTTTTTGGCAAATGTTTTTTTCTGTATTATTCAATGTTTAAGGACAGTGGCGGGGACAAAAAGTCCCCAACAAGCAGTCAAAGTTTCCTGTCAGGTGGTTCAAGTTCTCCAACAGTTCACCTCAAACCCCATTATGGTGGTGTAAATGTTAAGACTAGGCACCTCTAAATGTCAAGAAATGTGACCCCTACTGATACTACAACTCTTTGAGGCTTTGTTCCTCTTTGGCACTCATCTACTTTGTCTATAGTTTACTTTTAAGAAAATATATATTTACAACTACTATTAGCAACCATGTCTATTTTTTCATGTTGGAGAAGTCTTTATTTACTTTTTGTTTATATATATGTTTTTATTAGGAATTTTACATGCATGCAAAAGAAATGTACAGAACCATACACCATTGCTAACTATGTATATAAGCATCATAACCATCTTTCAGAATATGAAGTATCTTATCGTACCTTCATCAAAATGATTACGAACCAGTTCCCTATCTTGCGCAAAACACAAATCAAAATAGTTTTGGCCAACAAGTTGCTCTCTGTTGTAATGCGGAGGCTGAAGACTATCCACATCAGCTCGTAAGATCTTCCCATTAAAGTCGTGGTTTGTACTAAAAACCTCGTTACTTGGCCTTGTGTTATTCATTTCTTCAATAGTAAGCCTTCTTGCAATACAAAATAAATGTGACGGTTGATCTGCTGGGAGAGAAAAACAAAAGAAACATTTGAGTATGATTTGGCACACTGAGACTTTGTATAAATGCCCTTATAAGTCTATGTTTGGATTGGATTGGACTGTAGAAGGAAACATATATGATGGTTTTATACTAATACTATACTGTCATATAATTATGTGTGCTGGGTAAAATGATCAGTAATATGCTATTTCTGCAACACAGTATGATAGCGTACTGAAATATTCCGAAATATAGTTTTTTAATTGTGTCAACTTAGGTCTTAGGTCTAATTTCAATGATGCCCAGGCAGAAGATATGTATTAAAATTCATAAAAGAATAATGCACGACCAACTTAAAAAAAAAAAAAGACAGCAAAAACATGGAATCAAGCAGGGACAAGGAACTATTTTCTACGTATTCAAATAATCACTAAAAGTGATTAATCAACTAAATAGTGATTAATCAACTAAAAATAATTACTAAAAGTGAATAATCAACATTTAATAACATTAACATATTAGGATTTAAAATGATAATACATAGTCCGGATTTTGCATTGCTACACATGCTTATACCTTCCTCTTTGGAAAAGATTTGAAATCAAGTGTTTTCATATTAGCCACACTACTCCTCACTTCCATCTTCCAAATTTATGTTTGATTAGAAATGCTTTCATTTGATTTAATGCATTTATATCATTGAAGTTTCTGAGTTGGGAGATTGGTGAAAGTAGAGACATACTACCAGTCATAACACCTGTATTTTTCATACTGTGTATAATGGAAGAAATTGAATGAATTAAGAGACAATTTACACCATGCATCTGCAAAACATTTCCTTCGGATACAATTGCTTCAATGACGTAAGCTACCATTGTTATGTTTGCTTCAAATAATTAACGATAATAATAATAAAGCTGTATTTATATAAGCACATAGAGATGAATGTTATATGCGCTATACAATTGCAAAGCCATTGACGACTGATCATAAGCACAATATGCATTACCTTAAAAAAATAAACAAATGTTACATAAGGAAAGTTTCTATGAACACTTTAACCTATTTTAAATGTTAGTCCCCATTTGTCATGTAGATAAACAATTTAAATGTTATTATTTTAACATTCAAAATGGTCAATGGTGATAAAAAATCTCCCATGTAAAGGCTTGTAAGATCTATCAAATTCAAATTGAATATATAAACCAAAGTACATACTAAAACTTGAAATATTTATAAAAATACAATAAATAAATATCAATAAACATTTAAAATAACTACAAATCATTTGGCAGAAAATCCTGTTATTAGTGTCTCTGTTGAAATAAAAATGAAAATATAATAATCCATTCTGTACAATAAAGTTATTGCATAAATACACCTGTGTATTAAAATAAAAATGAAAAAAAGTACAACAGTGACTGACAATATTGCTTGTGAACTGAGTGTGTACTTTATAACCATCATGTTCTTGGTATTGTTATATCTACTGTGGCAGGTGTTTTCAGTTGAAGTAGAATCTCTCTTTGTGTTCTTTTCATCATATCTGTGCTATTACTGCCAATGCAATCTATTTTCAACATCCACATAATTATCATGTCATTTACTCACTGTTGATTATGATGGCGACGGTAATGATCATCACATTCTACCGTCATGTGATTGTGACCAACCAATGGCAGGCTCAGCAGCCTAGTAGAGTATTGATTGATATTTTTTCATATTGTTTTTGAACATTGGTCATAATAGACCTTACCAGAGTGTCAATCAAACTGAACAACTGACCAATCAGAAGAGAGCCAAGAACACACGCTTGTCTCTCTACACGCGTGTTGTGGGACCTTAGCAACGATATCCAAGGGGCGGGGCTTAGCGGAAAGGTCCATTAGCACTCGCTACCATCATCAACTTTTTTTTAAATCGGTTAGTAGAGCTTTTGCTTTAATGACAACAAAGTCTCCCTCGTGTACTGTAGCTTCTAATTGGTTTTAATTTGTTCTGTCTAAAGGCCTGTTTATATTGCAATGATAACGATATAAAGCTAAAAAGCAATAGAAATTAGAGAAGTTATTACAATAAGTAATTTCATAAATCAATTCAAATGACGTCATAATCATTGAAAAACGATAAAATCGTAGTAGCAACGATTTGATCATTTTTCTCCATGATTATGATGTCATTCGAATTGATTTCTCAAAAATATTTTGTTATCGTATACACAATAAATCGTTATCGAATCATCCAAGTGTAAAAACTTCTCTTATTTCTTTCATTTTCCATATGAACAATTGCTTTTTACCTTTTTATCGCTCCAAGTATAAACAGGCCTTTATAATATTTATTTAGTCTTATTAGCTGTGGTTAAACTTGATGTGTTGTTAGCTACTTCTAATTCCTAGACGCACTTAGAAAATTAAAGATGTCTTATTGACATGACAGACTGCTACTCTTCAGGTGGAAGAACACAGTATGCCCAAAAGCTAGTCTCAATGAAACTAGTTCTTAAAGTACTAAAATCCTCCGAGAAGTTAAGATTCAAAGATGTGGGCCTAAAGATTAAAATTGCCATGGATATATAAAGTGATGTGTGTACAGAATTACAGGAGTACACCGCCTTACAGTTGTAAAGATTTACAGTAAAAAGTGCTTGGATACAAGTATTAAGATTTACAGTTATAAAGATTTAGTAGATATAAAGGAGGACACGCATAAGAGGTATTAGCAGTAAATTTTGTGGTTAATGCGAGGCACACGGATATGCTTAATTCTAAGCTTACAAGGGTCTGTCTGAATGGGTGTAAATATAACATAATAATTTATTATCCTAATGCATTCCTACAACTAGGTGAGATGACGAGAAAACATTTTAAGTGTGGCCCAGTAACTTTCTAGCCATTACTTAAGTTGCTGATTTTTGTGCATTGTACTGTGCCATTTATGTTTTTTAACTTGTTATTTTTTATACTCTAAAATGTAATTATATCGTAATTTTATTTATTATATTGGTTGGCAGAGTTTGTTTGGATGGGTACAACTTCAGACGAAAATTTAAAGATTTACAGGTGCATTGATTTACAGTGTATTATTTACAGGTGTAGAAATTTACAGTTGTCGATATATATATATATTTGTACTAATTTATAGGTGTACAGATTTATAGGTATAAAGATTTACAGGTGTATATGAAAAAAATGTTTACCGTAGTATGCATTATTCTTACAGGTGTAATGATTTACAGATGTTCATTCTATTACGAATAAAGTTTAAATGCACCTGTGTTTGATGAGCCTGTATCCTCGTTCTTCAACGAGGTCCTGACCATTGCCGAACACTTCATCGTAATAAACCTGGCATCATGTATGTCTGCGTCGTCAGCTAATTTGGTTTTCATTCGTAGCTCAAACGTTGAATGGTTTCTCTTGTTCCTTGACATGGGATCCACCATCCATGAGCTGTTGTTTGCTGCAGCTGATAAAAAATAAAATTATCAAGATTTATAATAGATCTGGGAACAAATTGCTGACAATAGTAACTATGACAATGATTACTTGAAAAATGTTGAGGGTATTTGTGGTTGCGATGTTGATTACGACGCTGATGTGACAATGACGACAATGATGGTGGTGATAGACAACGATGGTTATAATGATAATGGTAATGACGCTGATGAGAAGATGACAATGATAAAAGAAATGATGATTATTATGAAATATGACACCGCACAGTGATTAGCATCTTGATGATTATGATAACAATGACAACATAAGTAATGGTGACATTAATGATGATTAGGCAAAGAAAGTTTGTCACCCAAGCCCAACTGACCCAAAACCTTTATAATCTACAATTAGCTGTTTTTAAAACTAAAATATTCTTTTCCTAAAATATTTATATCATGTAGTAAATGGATAATTTCATCGTTCAATCAAGTTTCAGCCCAGTAGTTACAATTTTAATTGCCAAAAAGCATACAGTCAGAGACAGTGAGTCAAACCATAAAATTAGGCCTATAGTGAAAAACATAACAATTCCTGTCCAAATGATGATTTTAATGATCATGATGTGGATGATACTGGTGATAATAATAAAGATAATAATGTTAATTTAAGAATATTACAAAGGAAAATAATACCATGGTGAAAAGAACAGCTATAATAACAAATTTTGCAATGGTACAATCTTCTTTAAAAGGGAGGAAGATACTTACTGAGTGGATGGAGACAATTTCTAAACACTTGGTGATCAGATTGCGCAATCAAATTAAAAACAGTCGTTCCCATTAAGTCATCCTATGAAAATACAAAAACAATAACATTTTTGATATATTATATTTAAAAAAATCCTATTAAGTATTTTAAAAACACAGATTTTACAATGCACTCATGAGAGCTTTTGATTGGGTAATGAAAATGTGACCCTAGGACACATGCACTGAACTGTGTCCATTTACCATTTCGGTTCAACCAGGTCCAAGATTTTAGAAAACAAGAATTTAATGTATACATACTACATACGCAGATGACTCTGTCAATGGCACCAAGTCATATGTCTTACCATCGTCTCCTATTAAAATATCTATTATTATGATTCCTATACATACTAAGCACAAATAATCAAATAATGAAATGTGGGGTAGGGTAATGATGATCATAAATCCAAATGAAAAGAATGTTAATTAGTCATATTTATATTCACATTATCAACAATAATTAGGTTACACAATGCATTCAAATGCATCTTAAGCTTCTACATATTATTATTATTATTATTGAATTGTTTCTTTTATTCCTTCTACAAGAACATTATTATGATGGTCTAACTATGAGTAAATGTTCTTCTATAGCTGTTTCTGTGAAGAATGAACACATTTATATATTCATAAAATGTTTCCATTAGTTCTAATAAAATAAGATGTTGTTGACCTAAATATGATGATCTAAATTTCTCTCAATCTTTTCCTTTATCTTGTTTCTGCCACTCAATGCTAAATGAATATCAGTAATTCACAATATGGTCTTGGATAATCGGTCAAACATATTTCATGTACTTCATTCTAATATTTAATTATATTTCTCCACTTTTAAAAACAAATATTGTTAATACTTTATTTTATATTTATTTCATTACTTTATTTACATCATCATCATCATCATCATTAATTGTGCTTGGATAGCGCATAAAAAGCAGATCACTAAAAAGGCAATTCAAATTCAAAAAGAAAAATATGAAAAAAAGAAGAAAACTAATCAAAATGTTATTTACTCCATTTTAAATATCAAGTAAACTTGCCAATTACAGGAAAGAAAGTATGTAAGTCACCTAATGAGGCTTAGAAAGAGAAGTTGTTTTACCATATGGTGCCCCATTTGATTTGAACCTAAAACAGTTAAATTTGAAGACAGGCACCTTAGCTTCATTCCATTATGTTATTTACCTATGAAAGAGTAACTTTTATATATCTAGTGTTAATTGTGAAAGTGATATCATTCTTCACTTCTGTCATCTGTCTTTTGATTGATCATTAACACAACATTCTACAAATTGTTACCCAAGGCTCAGTACCGTGAGAATGGTTTCACTGCAGTCTATCTTGACCTTACACACACATTTAATAATCAAGTTATTTCATTTTACTTATGTTTAACATTGTTTTTTGCTGACATATTGTTTCTTATATTTTGATTGTGCTACATTTATTTTGTATTTTAAACTTATGTTTTTTTGAGATTTACATGGACTTTATATCAGTACATTTAATTTAAGTGAAATAAACATTTACTATTTATGCTTTCTTTCAATATAACTTGGCACCATTTCTATAAAAGAAAAAAAAACTTTTTTTTGGAATAATGATTCCCTTATTCCCATATTATATTAAACAAATATATATAACAAAGCTATATCATTTTTCTTCTACAGTTACTCATACCTTTGATTGATATAAATTCCCTTAAAAAGTATTGACATTGTATTTGCTTCTCCAATACATTCAATTATTCTCCTATATTTTCCCACGCATTTCCATTAACATTCAAATATGCATTACACACATCTATCAGAATATACGGGTTTCCATATGGCAAAATACAGCTTATATTATATGCCATTATCCTAATTCTATACTGCAGAAGATACTCTCATCACAGAGAGAGTACAATTAACATATCGCCAAACCCAATGCCAATTATAGGTACCTTGTATTATTTCATATCTACAGCACCACGTTCAGTATAGCAAACTGCAGAAATTTCTAGTGAAATTAAATTACTGAAACCCAGGGGAAATGTAGCAGTAAGCAAGGAGAGGATTAGCTCTCGTAAACTTCACCACAGCAAGTGGAAGTGAACAATGGTCGTTTGGTATCTGATGCGTTAACTAATATTTTGTGGAACATCCCCAATCATTTTAATTAAATTTTTCAATCATTTTTTTTTATAATAATCATATTATATTGACTGTATGAATTATTTTCCTACATCAGGTCATCACTATATTATAATGGAAAATTTATAGTATCGATATTAAGTAAAAAAATCACTGATGATTAAAAAATAAAATATGTAAAAATGATCATTTTAAAGTTTCTATTACTGTAATGCTTAAGCCTAATGACTGAGAAGTACATGTATGAATAGTGCAACATTATGGTTTAACGATTTAAGACAATTTAAGAGTTTATCTCTTTCATATCATATATATATATATACATATATACATATATATATATATAATTATATATATAAATATAGTATACATATATATATATATATATATCTCCTTTGACATCGTGGAATTCTACCCATCCATCACAAAAAAATTGTTAACAGATGCGATCCAGTACACCAGCATCTCCGAACACGAAGCAAATGTCATCATGCACTCCCGAAAATCAATATTGTTTGGTAACGATTCAACATGGACCAAGAAAAACTCAGTAAGTTAGAGCATCCGATTAAAACATTTCATTACCAATTAACATCGCGTAAACTATATTTTTGCACATAGACCTTTAAATTGGCTGAAATTTAACAATCAACTACCAGACACATCCATCTGTTATTTTTTTACAGGATCTTTGAAAGCTCGGGACCTACTTGAATAATCCTCTATGCTCATCTTTATGGGGCGGATGCGGGATTTGGCGGTAGGGATGCGTGCAAGGGTGCAGATCTGTTTTGAAAGGTGATGGACATTTCGTGGAAATAGTACCTGTAGGTAGCTGGAAATGACACTTTTATATAGTAAAATTTATCATCACATCACCATTATATAGTCAAAAGTATCACCTCAGGGTGCCCGGAAATTACACTCTCATGTACCTTAAAAATCTTACCAATAATTCATATCAACAATACAATACATCAATTATTTTTCTTCATAAAATTTTTAGGGGTGCAATCGCACTCTTTGCACCACCCCCCCCCCCTGCATCCGCCCCAGATATATATTTATATAATATGAAGATAAATATTTTGTAAATAGCTCTATAGTGCAGCTTTTGTGTTATGTACTTTTATTAAGGTTGTGTATCTTATGACTATCTCTATCTCGTCCAGCTTCAAATTCAGAAAGTTAATTAAATTCATTGGTGTAAGTTCTCTGGTATTCTTATTATAATCTTACCTGAGTTGAAGTCAAGTATGACGAGACGTTCTCTGTAATAAAGTCAATCTTGCCGTGGCAATTTACCACAAAAAGAAACCCGTCAAGTGCCTGCAGATTGAAATATTCCACAAAATAAAATTATTTAATGTGCCATGTAGAATTTATGATGTAATACCAATAACTCATCTTATAGTCATATAGTATCAACTGAATTTTATAGAGTTAAATTAATTATAACTTTCTAAAGATTGGTTGCATTTATTCTTTTTTAGTAACTGTTGTATAATAAATAACGCTTAATGAAACGCCAACCATAGTATAAACCACATGATTTGGTTGATTTATATGGCTTGATCTTCTACGTGGGCCTGCGCAACCACGGGAGCAGTTTGGCGCAGCGGTTCTGCTTCTCAACTTTGAGGTCGGGGGTTCAATCCCTCACTGTACATTTCGTTTGAGTCCTTAGACAAGGCACTTTACTATGGTTGTCTCTCGCCACCTAGGGTACCTGGTACGTTCGAACACAAAAATGTGCTGATTACAGCTGCAACATTATGGAATTTTCCCCAGCAACTTGAGTATGTGTTCTATATGTGCTGGATCCAATGGCAGTAGGTAATAATGTAAAGCGCATATAGTGTACCCTATAAGTCGACCATTATTATTATTATTTTTTTATTTTTTTAATGCCTTTGCTAAATATTTCTATTTGAGTATTTATTGTTTTATATATTTGTCCAACAGCCAGTGTCTTGCCGCTTAAAGGAAAGAATAAACTATGCTTATACCAACAAAGTTTTCTACTGCAACTTAGAATATAGAGTTGACATTACCCCAAAAAGATAACGTACCTCCAGTAACACCGGACCAAGCTTATCCTTAGCAATCACACCCGGATTGCTTGATGATACATGGTCGTGCTGGATTCCTACTGAAGGATCTGAAGCTAAACAAACAAAATAAAAACATAAAGTATTATTAATATTTCAATTATTGGTTTAAGACTAAAATTTTTATCATAAAACAATGCATCTTCAAATTTATGAGCAAAAAATGTAAAAGTACTATAAACAGCCACAAATAAACCCAGAGCTTTCTGACAAAACTAGATGTGATACACTGTAAGAAATTGAATATTATCAAATTTATCATCAAAAAATAATCATGAGAAGCACATATACTATAGGTACTACAAATATTGAGAATTACGAACATTTTTCAAATTTTTAAATATTTATTATAGCGATTCGTTCATTGCTGTGGACTAATAATCAACATGACAAATACAACACAATCCAACAGCTTATGTTGTTAACCAAGTGATAATATGATCCTTAGGAACTACTCTCTTAAAACATACTTTAGCTCTAGTTTGAGCTAAAACTTCATTTTTATAGAAAAATTTCATTTTACTATATTATTAGTTATATAGCAACAAGATAAATGTGGACATGTGACTTAGGAAAAAAAGCACATTGTCTATGAAAAGAAAGGCACTATAATATAATAAAACAATTACGAGATAACCTGATCTAAATACAAGGTCTGGAACATTCTCTCCTATACAACATTATACTAACTTTATCTAGGCTCTGGAACATTCTGTATCTACAACCTGACCTATGCCTCTCTCTGTAGCCTCTGAAACATTTTCTCCTCTACAATCTGATCTAATTTTATCTACTGTAGCCTACACCTCTACAACATGATCCAATTTTATATTTGCTGGAACATTCTTTCTACAAACTGATCTAACTTCTAGGCCTTTAGAACATTCTTTCCTTTATAGCCCAATATAACTTTTATACAGCCTAACATTTGTCTACTGGACCATTCTATTGTTATATTATACAAATACATACATAGTAATAATAATAAAAACTCATCTCAGCATTACAATGGCCTGTTACTAAAAACACAGATGGACCATCCACTTGTGATGTCACGACAATTCTACAGTAGTTGAGAGCAGAAGCTTCTACGTTAAAAATTGATCAACACACAATCACAGACAATGTGAACACCCACCCACACACAAGTGAGTTTAGAGACACCTAGTGGATAAAACATGAATATAAAATTAGGCTGTTGTGCAAGCCATTAGTAACTACCATTCCCAAATCTACTGCTCAGAAACCAGAAAAAAAAAAAAAAATTAGTAATTTTGAAAATAATACCTATGTGTTAGTAATCTATTTACTTCATGAACAAACTGTATCTACTCAAGCCACATCATCCAATTACTATGAAAATGAGGCAGTACCGTGTATATTTTAACACGGCTCTTTGAAATATTATTAATGGAAACACCTTTTTTCTTCTATTCTTAATCCACGAGGAAATAGTGCGCATTACCTGTGAAGGGTACAGCTGTGATGCTGACCAATGATAAACAGTCAACTGACACGGTGTATTCCCAACCGTTACGCACAGGATCCAGTAATGCTATTACCCTTTGCAGCTTATGGGCCAGCTTCCTGATTAAGCTCAGGCTGACTCATAAGGGTGGATTTATGAGGTGATGTTGATGACGGTCACAGGGCTAACCTGGGTGGGAGAGTTGTGTGATTGGTACATCTCCCGCTCATCATAAACCTAGGCCCATGGATTATCATGCCTGGATGTGTGCATTATGGGTCAAAAAGTGGAAGGCTTGTAACTATAAATGGAACTGATTATACTAGATAGGCTAAGCTTTTCAAGCCCGTCACTCAATGCCATAGCAATGCTATACCTACTGTACTACCCAACTAATAATTTTAATAAGATATTATGTTTTCAAGGCCATTTTATGTCACAGTGTCATTACAGTGACACTTGGTACATCCTCTGTGACATTTGCTTTGGCTAACAGTGCTTGACAGTTGGCCATGAAGCTTGACATGACAATTGTGCTATGATTATTTAAGGCAGCTAGCCTATACCAGTTAAGCCCAGTAAGGCATCAATTGGACTTCTGCCAAAGTCTTTTATAAAAATATTTCAACATAATACATGTATCAAACAAGTATATTTTGACATTTCAGTGTCAAATCCATTTAAGAATACATTACAGTGCATTCAACACCCCATACAAACCATGTAGTAGAGTGTAATAGGAAAATGAAGTACTGCACCATTGATAATGGTTATATACTGACCTAACATTCTGTGGCGTACTAAGGGGATGTGAGGGGGAAGACACCCCCAAAAAATATTTGTCTCTCCGCCTCCAAAAATCATGTGCAACTAGTTAAAATTTACCTCAAATCATCGTATTTTGCGAGCTAGTGCCCACTCACTTACCATCAATCCCCCACTTCACCTTTTGCTCCCCATCAGCCCCAGAATCCTAGATACGCTACTGTTAAAAACTTTTTATGTTTTAACAGTATTTTAAGTAGGAGGCACAAAATGTAGGGTTATTTCTAGTGATAAATTTTAAATTTTGACTATCGAAACAGAGGCAGAAAAACTTGCCCTGTTCCTCGCTATATAATTCCACCACTGTACCTTGCAATAAACTAATCAGACTATTTAAAGGAGACCATTTCATAATTGAATATATTTGGAGGAATCAAAATAAAATAATGCAATATTTCTCCAGCTGCAGTACAAAGTCTCCTTACAGTCTATGTTGACTATTACCAGTTAGACTCTCTTGTATAATACAAGCGCCACTACTCCTCACATCGACAGAAGTGCTACAATTAGTCAGTGAGTTTCTCTGTTTTTTTTGTGTGGAGGTGATGATGAAATGTTCCCCCTACAATAAGGAAGAAAATGACTTGAGACCTAGCATGTTCTTTTATAACAGTATTACCAGCTCTTTACATAAAATGAGAGAGTACAGAAGTAGGTATGGTACAAGGACAATAGAATGCCTGCAAGGCATTTTATTCGCTGACACTGACTTCCATCTTTTCTTTACAGATCTAGAAATAAATTACATTATTTGTTTTTCCTTAAAAGAGACCGGTGGCATGATTTATCCAACAAAGAAACCAACAAAAAAACATATCTCAACTAATCTATCAGTATATAATTAGGTCTATTCTCCGAAGCTGCTGATGACGTAGTAGTTTTTTGAAGACAGTATTCCATGAGTAAAGGAGGTATTGTTTAAGGGGGGGGGGGGGTGGAATTGGATAAAATCAAGCTACAGAATGCATTATAATACCTTGCTGCTGCTTTTGTTGCTTGATCCCCTTCACAACTTCTTCAACTTTTGCACGTTCCTCGGGTTTAACGTTCCACGAATCAAGGTTTGTGTTACTAGAAGAAATCAAATCCGCCAGTTCTTCAATGTACGCACTCTCTTGCTCTCGCCGTCGCTTATTCCCTGCTGGTCTGCTGCAAGATAAAAACGACATCATAGCTTTTTAAAGATATAAGAACAGCACACATTTATGTTGTTAATGCCAATTCAAAATTGTACTAATGCATATTACCAATTCAGATGAACTTTCATACAAACTATTTACAGGAGAACACCCAGCTTTTTTAAGTCTACAAGTACACATTTTGGACAACTTTTAGAAGCGTCTCATTTCTTTGCCTGCCTCCATGTTTTGCATTGCCTTTTTATTTCATCCCATCATTTTTCTTGATGTTCTACTTCTAACTTGCTGCTCATGCAAGTAACATACATTTTCATTTAATTTTGCTGTAGATGTCAACCAATGATTACTAATGCAATTATTAAATTTATTTCAATTTGCTTTTCTTCAAAAAATCAGCAAATTCCCTATCATAACTATTATTTCTTTCTACCATCATTCTCAACATAATCACTACCCTCATCATTAACATAAATGCTACCACAATGGCTTCACCATAATCCTCATCACCATTTACCATCAATATTTTCAACAATCATCACCAATACAGCCACCATCATCATGTTACCACCACCACCATTAGCACCTTCTTCATCCCCATTATTACCATTATTTCTTCCTACTATGATTTTTGTCATCACCATTATCATTACCACATTGCCCTCATCACCATTACAACTATCAGCATTGCTATCACTATCTTTTTCAAACAGCATTACCACCATTATCATAACCATCATCACTAGCACCAACATTTACCATCAGTACTGTATTACATCACCACTAATCATCAGCACCATCTGCCTACTGGAAAATATATAAATCAACATTGATTGAACACAAGTTACTAATACTACACATCAAATGGGTGTCTTTCTTTAAAATTTTACTCTCTTTGTTTTGCATTTCTGTTCTTTGTTTTAGACTTACTTTTGTATTTTATCTGGCCATTTCCGCTTGCTTGCCATGGCTGGACTATGCCTACCTGTGTTCATAGTAATCCAGGCAAGTCCCAACTACAAGCTGTCACACATAACCAACCACCTATAATGGTAAAAAAAAATACATTGAATGTTAACACAATTAATCAATCAGTAAACCAAGCAATCAATCATCAATGAATTAGTCAATCATTCAATCACTCAATCAACCAGTCATATTTAATGTCTGACCAATTAAATATCCTGAAAAAAAAAATGCATTTTGAAGATAAATTCTTGACCTGAGCATAAGAACATAATAAACAAAAAAATGTTGTTTGTATGAATTACAAAGCATTAATAAATATTTCTAAACATCCTAGTGCTTTAAGAACCAACGTAAACAATCCCATCCTGCCCCAAGATCATGAATTATTCATTGTCGTAGTTTTTAACAGATTGTAGAGTACAATCATGTCGAGTACAATAGCGAAAAACTATTTATCACATTTTATAGGTCACCGGTGGAGTCATGTACAGTATCAATACCAAGTTTAACATCTTGTGAATCATGTCGAGTTAAACATATTCGTAGAATTGGAGATTTTTACTAAGAAGAACATCAGATAAAAGTGACACAAGCAACAGAAACATAATGATGTTTGTGAAATTCAATCTTTGTAATTATAGCACGGCTTTGGGGAAATATGTAAAAAATATTAAGTTAATACTGTATGGTTCAAAAATAAAAAGTAGGAAAAACTATAAATAATAATACAGCAGAAAAAATAGAAAGTAAAAATTTACAATAGAGAACACAATGAAAGCATGCAATACATTACAAAACTTAAATTAAGGGGAGAAAATATAAATATAGACTTATTTACAGGTTTCTTTGAAATTTAAAAAAAATTATCTTAATTGTTTTATTTCTTAGATGAGGAAAGATATTGAGTGGTAGGTCAAGGACGATATAATATTTACCACATATATTATATTTTTATGTAGATACAATAACATTAAATCTCCCTAGGTACTTTATGCCACCCATTGTAGCTACCGGCGTATTTATCTCATTTGGGTTTTTCAGGTAAATGCTTGGTTGGGAGTTAATATTATTCCTAAGTTATATTAATAGCTACTATACACAGATTAATACTTAGTCCTATACTCAACATTTATCATTATTAATAAACCATTAATCATCTCTTTCTGAGAAGTACAATAGTCAATGCAAAAAAATATATATATAACTTAACATATGGCATATTCATACTTTGCTATTATATAATGTTATGTAACATTTACAATATACTTATAAAATCTATTTGATTATTTTTATTTTATTTTCATCAGATTACATTATAGAAATATTTTAAAGGAATGTTCCATTATTCCTAAATAAGGTAGGCAATTACTTATACAGAAATAATAATAATTTTAAAGGTGCATAAATCTTCTTTGTCCATTAATAAATAATACAGAAATTAGTAAGTAGTAATGAGACTAGACCTAGTTACTGCCACAATCTCTTTGATGAATAGTGCAATACATTCCTTTGTTTCCTATGAATAATGTATTCATGTACGCCATGTATGCATAAACCTATGGTAACTAGTGCTAGTTACCCCCACATTTTCATGGATACATGTAGCACAGTACATGTATTCTTATTTTCTTTGTTTCATATGAATAATTAGCATTTATAGTAGGCTTATAATAATATGACCTGAAACCGTCTCAGTTATCCCATAATATTTAATAGTGTATACTCTCTTTGTCTGATATGAATAAATAATGCATTAGGTATAATAAATGAACCAGTCACAGTTTCCCCCAAATTTTCTTTGATGAATAGTGCTTATCATTAAGTTTAAGTTATTCATGAATAATTAAGACACTTTAAAAAAGATGCAAAATAAGTAATAAAACTTGAGTAACCCATTTTCCTCGATGATTAGATATTTTTAATTAATACTACACGATAATGCAGTGATGCTAATATTTTTTTATAACCAACTTTTTTATTTTTATATATAATTTATGCATTTCTAATTTTTTTTTTAAAGATTACAATTTTGAAATGACATTTTCATTAGATGATAAATATTAACTAGTTACAAATGTCGATTATCTTGGCCAATATTTTAATTTTCACAGCGTACTTTTTAAAGTTTTATGAAACAGTAAGTGCATCTTATATGATCTATTTTGTTCTTGTTAATATTGTTTGAAATTTATTATTTTTTTATAATAGGAAAACTGATAATTGGTCGTACTGTATATCAAAAAGATAAAAACAATTTAGCATTTTGAGCATTAGTGAAAATATTGTAACTGCACATGTACGGAAGGTGCAGAACGTGCGAGATGAAGTAGCAATGGCCAATTCCACTACTTAATGAGAGAGAAAACATTGACGTCTCAATGTCTGAAGTGTTGTCAAAAGCACATTTTATGTTGCGACGCTTCTTAAAGGATTAATGCACATGATAAATAATGCTTAGCCTCCTTCGTACAAGACGGACAAAATGCGTTATCATAGGCTGTTCGCTGGGTAATGGTTGCTACATAAGCAGAGACTTTATGTGGGTTAATTGATCTTTCTCATCATATTTGTAACGGTGAATGTGCTTAGCACGGTGCATTTTTCAGGTAAAATTTTCCCCAGTAAATAGGAATGATATGTACGGATATTAGATGTAGTTAACAACACAGTATCGAATTCCATTCACTATGGGACAAAAGCAAGATAATAATAGAATTAGCATTGTTCAAGGCAGGTGCCCTGTAATATTGATGAGAAAAAATGTATCAGAAATAATGGATAATGATAAAAGAAAAAACAACAGTAATCAAGAAAATAGTACAATCGCCACCTGTGTCTGCATATTAGTGTAATTCATTTTTCGTAATATATTTATCCCTAAAAATGAGGCTACCAACTGTGTAAACATTCAACAAATACGTATTTTCATCACTGGAGATAATTTAGCAGCAAGAGATGTATTCATCATGTGCAATGCTAATGTTGAACAATTCAAATCATACGGCATGCTGCACATCAGTATATTAACAGACGTTAAAATTAAATTAATTTTGAATCTCGGTTAGTAGGACTGGAAGTACCGATTTCATCTTTAGGAAGCTGGGATTCAGAATGCAGACCCCCATCCTGTGTGTAGGAATGCATTTAGAAATACACAGGCATGCTACAGAAAACACTAGGCAAAACCCTCCCAAGATCTACGCACATTGGGATATTGGGTTGTTAGTGTACCCAGAGGACCTACATTGTCTACACAATGTACACAATTCAACACAAGTGTTGTTCAATACATTTTAAACTAAGGTACCTAATTATAGTTGCTCAAAGCATTAACAATTTTTATAAATACTATTTCTACTGAGTGGCCAAATTATTAGCATTAGTTGAATAAACCAGCCTCACAAAACACAAACTATGCTTTTTAAATGATTATATTATTATTATTATACATCTTTTTTTTTTATACTGACTCCTTACTGAATATTTTAAATTTTATATTCTACAAAATTGTTGCCCTATTACAATTTGGCTTGGACAAACCCGTCTTATATTTACCTTTGAGAAAAGAAGTATTGATTTAGTCACGGGAAAATCAAGTTGTCAAACTATTGGATATGAATGTTAGTATTAGAAGATAAGCAACAACCACAAAGTAAGCAGCTTCAATGATAATTCGATACCTTATGGCTTATCTAATAATAACAACCATATATTTGATTTTCCACTATCAATTAAAATCACTGGACTTATCTAAAAGTCATAAATACACGTAATTATACAATAGCTATTTAAAAATGATGCATTTGTTTATTCTATACACTTAGTAGCTATAAAGCAATGCAATAGACCTAGAGCAGTTTGGGTGTTGCATGTACTTTTGACTTGACCTTCTAGCAATTTCAGGATTGAAATTACCATGAGATCAAAGTGATAGGACTGAACAGTATGAATCATATATTACCATACCACCTCTCCTCATTCAAGCTTCAGCTTTTTTTTCAAGCGCAGTGATTCATGGAGATTTGAGTCTTGGCATAACATCTAAATAACTTGTGAAAAGGCACCTACAGTACATTTATTTATTTAATTTTAATTTGTCTACATAAATATTTATATCAACATTGGATTAAAAATAAAGAAGAGTAGAGTCACGAAAAAAAAAGGTTCAAGAGTGCGCACATGCTGCTGTTCCGACCAATGACGTATCTAGGGAGAACACGCCCCTCCAAAAATTATTCGCACCCCAGTTGCAACCCCAAAAATCAGGGTCAAGTAGTTAAAATCACATAAATCACTTTATTTTGCGAGTTAACGCCTCTCAACTGATCATCGAGCCCCTCTACTTCACCGTCGCGCCCCTTATCAGCACCCCACTTAAAGATTTCTAGATATGCCACTGTTTCAGATTGCATTTTTTATATAATAATTATATTTAAAAAATAGTCTGAAATTCAACAAAATTATGATAATACAGTACTTAACACTGAGAGTCGGAGAATAATGATTAAGTTCACATTTGCATCCTTGCTCTATCATGCAGTTTGTATTAAATGTTTTGCAAAGAGCAAAAAAGAATAATAATAATAAGCAATGACTATTACTTGGTTAATGCACCTTTTATACAATATTTTGTGTTGTTTTGTTTTGTTTATATCTAGGTTAGGCATATAATATGCTGTTATGGGAGGATTTAATCCTAAAAAATAAATTAAATTCACTTATTGAAACTGTTTATCAAAATTAATTTTAATATAATTATTCTGACTATTATCAAGTTTACCATCTGTTATTGAGGTGATACTAGACCTAAGTGTTTACTTCGTAGATCATAAACAAGCATGTGAAAACCTTTGCACTCACATTAGTTTGACATGTACAACGATTTAATTTAAAACTAAAGTAGATTTGTGTTTAAAATGACGATTACAATACAACAATTTCAACATTCAGCATGCAGGCAGTAGCTTGACTCTCAATACGACTGAAACTGTAGGCAATGTTGATTGAATAAACAGACCAACTTCCGCTGGTGATATTCCATAACTTAGGCCTACTTGGGAAAAGGAAAATACCTG